GTCACATGACTAGGTATTGTAGTATTGTTATGATTTTGTAACTTTAAAAATTCATTAAAAACTAATTTTGATTGGAATCAGCTCAAACTTTCTACACAACATACAGGGGTGTCGCTCGCCTTGAAAGATTGGTAGGGCACTAGGTCTGGGAAGGGGAAGGACCTTTTCACGCGCAAAGCGTGGGAAAAATTTTGCCGTATCTAATTAATATTCATGATGGGTGTGGTCAATTTTGGTCGATTAATTGATTGATTGATTAACTTTTGACGCCCAAAATTCATAATGGCGTTCATTTCTAGCAATAAATTGCTTAACTACCAACTGTATTTCTACATTATGAGTCAGTTTTTGGTGTGTGTGAAGAAGTAAGCAGTGATTGAGTCTTTCCTGGATGGTTATTAAATGAATTAACTTGAATTAATAACTAATTTTAATAAAAATGGCTGCTGATCTTCAAAATATTGGTGGAGCAACTGCCCTACCTGCCCCTTAGGCAGCGACGCCTCTGACATAAGTACATGTATATGTAAAATAAAAAATTTTATTGGAGCCATTTTTGCCGAAATTTAACCAATTAGCGTAACTGATGAACATATTAATTTTTTATCAAAGTTATGCATGCATGGTTTCCGAAATGAGCTCCCTCCCCCCCACTTTTAGAATTTGTATGTGAACCAGAACCCTTGTATGTGTAGTTGTATGTATGTTAATTTTTAAATATTGGGACCACACGAATGCAGTCCTTCCAAAAATTTTGACGAGTTTACAGAAGATGAATTTCAAGACCTATAACCTTTCCCAGTTCATTGGGTTGCGTTAAATAGCTCATTTATTGTATAATAGCATCGTGGGTCCATCATCAGTAGATATTCCTATGCCCCACCTACTGTACATTAAATAAACTAACAAACAATGTATTATGAGCACAATACAAGGTACATGTACTTATGCTATTGTGAATAATATATTGTATAAGTGGGTTTTTTGAAGGAATTTTATTTTATAAAATTTACTAAAAATCTAATTTGCTGATTTTAATTTTATGAATTCTATCACGTGCTATGCGGTACCATATTAAATTGATTTTTGCGTATTTTATTTTCACAAATCAGGAAGGAATCCATGAAATTTGTAACCCTCGAAAATCCACTTATACTATTGTCAGTATACGTGTATCAGTACACATGTATATTGAATGAAAAGTAGCAAATTTATATTAATGATACCAAAACTCCAAAGTTAATTCCCTCCAATATTCCCCCAGTTCATACTGTATATACTAGTATACACATGTACAGGAACATGGTCACAAATGACATGAAATAGTTACTAATTTTCCCAGAGGAAGTTCAATTTGTATCAGTTGTCATCAGTATATAGCAGTCCCACACAATTCACTGGATTAATTATTCATTTGATGACTCTTCTTTGATGTGTTTGGTATTTTGTGTGGTCAATTTGTATCAATATCACTATTTACAATAAATCATGATTGTAGCTTTGATTTCAGAAATACATCCAAATTGATACTACATTTCCTGATACTCGTACATACATGTACACACATACTGTGAGTGAGTGTCCATTAATGTACTTATATTGCAGTTTGACTATAATCAACCTCAATTTTACATATTGATGTCCTTATGCTGTGTAGAAAGATTGAGGTGATTCTGACTTCAATTTTTCAAGTTACGGCTATTTTTTAAAATTGGCCAAAATTTGAAAAATACTCAAGGCTATAGCCCATGGTTTTTTTTTCAAAAAATGGCTCCAAAATCACCCCCAATTTTTATTGCATTTTTTGTTACATATTGATGTCCTTATGCTGTGTAGAAAGTTTGAGCTAATTCTGACTTCAATTTTTCAAGTTATGGCTATTTTTTTAAA